GGAGAGCTGCACAGGAGATCAGACATCAGTGACCTTCAGGACAAGGAAACTGTTACCAATTGGTGGGGGCCAACAACAGCAGTTATGCTACAGGTTTACAATCCGAAAAACCCTGCGATTTAGACATGCAGTTGTTCTTAGTGATTAGTGAACTTGGCAACAAGTTGCTGGAATGTTTGTTCCCAGTTTTCATGTCTTCTAATTGTTTTATTAACTCATTTTAAGGATTAAATTTGCAAAAAACAAGCAATCTAGCCCGTTATCATGATAGGGTCGATTCTTTTAGGAAAGAGGACCCAGGAACCTCACCGTGTTCAGTATTCACGGGAGATTACACTGATTACATTGATCATAGTAGTAATAATATCAAGAAGTGATTTTGGAGTTCTATAAATTGTGTGAGTACAACCAAGCAATTGACTGCATAGTCATGTTATAAAACCGGTTTTTTTTCCTATTCTCGGGTGTCATGATGTGAGTTGAACAATTACGATTTTGAAGAAATTGTGTGTGTGTGTGTAAATTATACAATTATCATTTTATTTTTCTGAGGCCACTTATCAGTGGTGGTAGTCTATTTTGTAAGATATCTAAGTTTCTTTAGCTTTTGAATTGTTAAAATGTAAAGAAAGGTTAAAAGGAACGATTCACAGTTGCAGTTATTTACCCAGTGAATGAATGATAACATTTTGCTCAACCATTAAAGTATTAAGAGCGCTAGTGTGCCTTGTTATCCTTGTTTCGTTACCGGAATATACCGCTTCTCGAATAAGTGCCCCCTCTTCCCCCCTCTTTTCTCAATAATAGTAGGATTAAGCGCGCGTGGAAATACGGTTATGCAAAATGCTTTTTGTTATTTATGAGAACTATTCCAAATGAAGTCTTTTTAGATATCAAGTATTCGATGAGATTAATCTGGTATTTTCTGCACTAACTTAAAGATGACTGCAAGATACTACAAATCATAGAGAATACGGGAATATGCCTTGTGTAGTAAACGCTATATATCTAGGCAAAAAACAAAGCTAGTTAAGATGTGGTGGCAGATTCAAACGGAAGGAAAAATAAATATGATCCTCATCTTGACAGGGACCTAAACCACAGAAGTTACCAAAATCCTTACACATTGGGCGATAGCCTACCAACGAATTGGAAGAACTTGGAGGGACAGAAGCTCTTGACTGATAACTGGATGACCTTAGCCGAGAAGAACCGGCTCGTTGCTACTGACGACACTTATCCTTGACCGCTTTTCTCTCCGCTCTCCTTTCTACTTGAAAAATTTTCTTTTCGTCATCAGAATTTGATGTGAGCTCGTCAGATAGATACTTGTTGTCTGTAAGCCAACCAAACTCGCACAAGTCAGCGAACTTGATGGTCTTTCAATACTAAAGTAGTACCTTTTAGGGCACATTTCGCTTTCTCAAAGGAAGTTCGAAGCGCCATCCAACTTACCGAGGACTTGAAATTCCTGATTGAGTTCTGTTGGTTTCCCCTCCGAACATGTGTAGTTCTCACGGTTTGCTCAACCGCAGCACCATTACTTTCAGAAAAAACTTGGACACCATATTCCCACCAATAGTGTGGCTCCATTTCTTTGGCCTGACGAAGGGCTGATGCTCGAAACGTCAGTATTTAAACTCCAATTGGTGGCCAATTTACGTTATCAACTCAGTTGATAATACTTAGATGCCCAGGTATAATCTCCCATCGACGCAGCACCACAGTTTCTTTACAAATTTACCCCCTTTGTTCAATAATATGCAGCCATTTTGACCAAGCATGCTTGGTCAATAAAGGATTCATCATATAGCAAAAAGATTTCGCTCAATTAAGATTCAAAAATTGACTTGTTTATTTCGAGAGACGGGAAAGAAAGCCAACTGCTTTTGGGGCACAATAAACCCACGAGAGTAGTTTATGTTTTCCTTATTTTGACTGTATTCTACCGCCTTTAGCGACTGCATCGCCAAGTCTTAGGAATTTTCTTTCTTGCGCGGGACTAAAGAGGGAAATCCGAAGCGGGCAAGATGGGCCCATCTCGCCCGCTCGGGTAGCCAATCAGAACACAGGATTCGCTTTCATATTGCTCACGGGCGCCGCCAGTGATATATCATAAAGGCTTCAAGAAAAGCTGAAACTTGCACTGAGCCTAAAAGTAGAAGCATAGTTGACCACGACGATGATCTTTCGAAGTTATGGTTGACGGAGGGAATTCCTTTCCCCTGCACATCCCTCACTTTCCTTACTTCCTGTTCCTCCGAAGAGATCATGTAAAAATATCCTTGCCTAGATTTACGATCTTCAGGACGTAGGACTGAGTTTCTTTGAAGATTCAAATTTGACCCTGTGATTACAACGTCTCTTCAATAGAAGAGGTGTCGCTCCTTCTACTGTCCTTACTAATAAA